CTTCGCGCTTCGCGGTCCTCGTTCCTTCTCCCCCTCCTCCTCGTCCTCCTTTTCTCCCTTTGGGGGGGCGGCGCGAGGGCGCGAAGTTATTCGCGCTTCGCGCTTCGCGGAGCGCGAAGCGCGAAGTTGGGAGCCCTAGCGCCGACTCCTCCGAGGCGGGGATTTATTCGATAACCGCCGCCTGGGGGCTCGATCTCCGCGGACCTCCGCAGGCGGGTGGACATGGACGTGGACATGGACGTCGGTTCCCGGGCGGTGGATACGGATAAACAAGGGCTCCCTCGAGGGCGCGAAGTTATTCGCGCTTCGCGCTTCGCGGTCCTCGTTCCTTCTCCCCCTCCTCCTCGTCCTCCTATTCTCCCTTTGGGAGGGCGGCGCGAGGGCGCGAAGTTATTCGCTCTTCGCGCTTCGCGCAGCGCGAAGCGCGAAGTTGGGAGCCCTAGATATGGATAAAGCCCTGCCTCGCAGCGCTGCTCGGGACACGGGACACCCCACACAGTGGGGGCGCGCATCAAGAAACCATCTACTTCTCGTCAGCGTATCCTGGGTTGCTTCGCTCCGCGTGCTGCGCGGTGACTTCCCGCAGCCGTTGGAGGAGCTGCTGCGTTCAGGGTGCTCCAGGCTTCCCCTCGTGTGCACCCGCGCGCAGGCTGTCAGGGTTGGGTTTCTGTGAGGGTTTCTTGCGGCCGCGCCCGCACTGTATACTACAACATCCATGTGCTACGTGTTCGCGTCGGACGTGCGCCTTTAACAACAGCACAAGCAGGTTCGCGTCTCATCGACCGGCGACCACTCCGCCGGGGGCGTTCAACATGGAACGCCGCCGGCGACCCAGAATTGGTCGATGCTGATCGATCGGACGTTTCGGAGACGGCCGCTCGTTCAGAGTGGAACGATCCCCGCGGTGTCAGAAACCGCCGCCGAAGTCGGCACGACACGAAACTGCCGCAGTATTTGTGTGTCCTCCTTCGGCGGCGAGCGAGGGGGGGAAGTGAGTGTGAAGGGGCGGGCCTTGTCAGAAGGAACGGAAGCCCCCCAGCCTTCTGAAAAGTTTCCTAAGCCTTCCCCGAAGACATAGAAAAAACTTCTCAGAAGGCGCGAGTGCTTATGAGAAGCCCCGCCGCCTTTGAGAAGGCCTACTCCTTCTCACTTCCCCCCCGGCGCGCCGCCGAATTTGGTTCTTGGGCCATAGCTCCGTTCTCCGGCGGCCGCTCGGAGCGATCCCTGCACCCCCAGAGCGCTTTCCACGAGGCGCAGCCGCTGAAGCGCATCCCGAGGCTGGGAAACCGCCGAGATCCGACGAGAACGCCCGAAAGCCTGGGAACCTCGAACCTCCTGAGAAGGCCTTCTCCTTCTCGCATTCCCCCCCCCTCCCGCCGCCGACTCCTGCGCCGCGCGAGGCCGCCGCCGCCCCGGGATGCAGCTGGGCCAGCTGGGCTCCAACTGGGCACGGCTGCGCGGGAGCACCCGGCCGCGGGCGGCGCCGCGGCCCGGTGGGGGCCCCGCGCCGAAGGCTTCGGGGGGGGGCAGTCAGCGGTGAGCCCCCGAGGCCCACGTCGAGCCCGCTCGAGGCTAGGGGCTTGTGTAAGGGATCTGCCTCCCTCCTCCTACTCCTCCTCCTCCTCCTCCTCCTCATCCCTTCTCCTCCTCCTCCTCCGTCTCCTCCTCCTTCTTCTCCTCCTCCTCCTCCTCCTCCTCCTCCTCCTCCATTCCTTCTCCTTATAAATAACTGCTCCCTGTCGCGCCCCGAGGCCAGTTTCTAGGGCGGGCCGGGCGTTTCGCCTGAGACTTCCTCACCATTCATGACCCTGAAACTTAAACAATGGCAACAGTTTCACAGATGGAGAGTGGGTGGTTTTCAAAATGTGGCTCTTGCCTTAGCGCCGCACACATTGGTTTTGAACAGTTAAAAGAGCTTCACGGATTCAGGGCGGGTCGTTTTCAACATGTGGCTCTCGCCGTAGCGCCGCGCACATTCGTTTTCAACATTTGCAAGAGTTTCACGGATTGAGGGCGATTCCTTTTCAAAATGTGGCTCTCGCCTGAGCGCCGCGCGCATTCGTTTCCAAACTTTGCAAGAGTTTCACGGAGTGAGGGCGGTTCCTTTTCGACATGTGGCCCTCGCCATAGCGCCGCGCACAGTCTTGTTGAACAATTGCAAGAGTTTCACGGGTTCCCATGATCGACGTACCAGACATTGTGTTGTGGAAGCATTCACGTTTCTGAAGGCGCAGCAGTTACGATGATTCGCAGAGTTGAGGTCCCAGGAATGGCGTTCTGGCATGATTCAGGATCGTCAAGACGCAACAGTCAGGTTGATCCGTGGCGTTAGAACACCAATGTTTTGACACGCTTCAGGGTCTTCAAACGGTTGTCTTCCAACGAGGCAGGTCCTTCTATGGAAAGGAATCGTTGTAGGGGCCTATGAAGGGGAGCTTGGGGGAGGGTTTATTCCAACATCGTTGGTGACTCTTGGGTTTACACTGGTCCTCCTCCTCCTCCTCCTCCTCCTCCTCCTCCTCCCTCTTCGTCCTCCTTGTCCTCCGTCCATCCTCTCCCCCTCCCCGGGTGGGAGCCCCGCGCCGAAGGCTCTGGGGTGGCGGTGGGTGGCTGGAGGCAGTCATCGGTGAGCCCCTAGGCCCCCTTTGATGACTTCTTCCCCGGACTCAGCGCTGGTGTGCAGTTCCCAGACTCAGCGCTGGTGTGCAGTTCGCAGTGTGCTGCTAGCGCGACCCTCCTGTGAGGCCTCTGAGGCAGATGGCTGCGGAGGTGGGGAGGTGGGGTGGGCAGGGTTGCGGCACCGCTCAAGGCTGGAGGTTTTAAGGATTCGCTCCTCTTCCTCCCCTCCCTCCTCCGACCTTCTGGTCGTCCCTCCTCCCTCCCCTCCCTCCCCTCCCCTCCCCTTCCCCTCCCTCCCTCCCCTCCCTCCCCTCCCCTCCCTCCTCCCCCTCCTTCCCTTCACCCTTCCCTCCCTCCCCCTCCCTTTCCCTTCCCTCCCTCCCTCCTTCCTCCTCCATGTTCCCTGCTCCCTCCTCCCGCGTCCTCCCCCTCCAACCTCCCCTTCCCCCCCTCTTGGTTATAACGGACCCCCCCCTGTCTCACCACCAGGCGAGGCCGCATGCGGGACCAGGCGTTCCGCCCGAGACTCCCTTGCCATATGATGGTCCTGAAGCTTACAGCAGCTCGAACTATGAGGACGCAGGGGTTGCTCGTTTTCAACCTGCGGCTCTCGCCGTCGCGCGGCACGCACTCCTCGCAAGCCTCCCCAAGAGTGACGAGGAGGGAGCGAGGAGGGAGGGCAGGGCGGGTCGTTTTCAGAGTGGGGCTCTTGCTTCGCGCCGCGCGCGTTCGCTTCTAGAGCTGCCAGCACTTGAAGCAAGGATTGAGGCCAGTTTGTTTTCAACGCCTTCCTGCGAGTTCCCCTTTTGTGCCTCTCTCGGGCCGCCTTAGGGCCCGGGGCAGCAGTCTCCCGGATCCTCTTGGGGACCTTTCGGGTCTTTTGGCCAGTCTGGGGGACCTCTCGGGCCGTCCTGGAGTTTCAGATGCCCGAAATGGCAAGAGCGGGACATCATTCAACAACCAGCAGAACATCAGTGATTTGTTCTTCTTGAGGAGCTCTTGGGGGTTCCTTGCGGCATCTTGGGCACGTTTTTCAGGTCTCTCCGGCGTGTTGGAGTGCTTCTGGAGCCATCTCAGAAGGCACCTCGGACATCTCGGCGGCCGCGGAGGGTGGTGGATTTGGATTCTCCGGAAGCCCCGGAGGTGTGCTGGCGAGCTCGTCCCTACCCCCCACCCCCTACTCTGGGGACAGCCGGACGCCTCACACGCCGTCTCACCCGCAGGAAGCCGGGGTCGGCTAATCCAACGGTCCCAGTTACTCTAAGTTGGTGTTGCTCTGCGCGGGCCTAGCACCAGCTGGAAGGTCTTCTCAGGACCTTGCAGCAGGTCGCCCAGGAAGGTCTTCTCATGACCTTGCAGGCAGGCTTGGTTGAAACTCGCTTTCACCTCTCCTTCTATCCCTCTAGGCCTCCTAGATGGGGTCTGGATAGATTCAGCCACGCGCAGACGGGGGTGGGGGGAGGGGGGGCTTCTTAGAAGACTCCTGCTTCTTAGAACCCGCGGGTTTCATCTATAGATGTGAGGCCAGCGCCTTCTGAGAGGCAGCCTCCTTTTGAGAAGCCCCCCCCATCCCCCCACCCCCTTGTGCGCGCCTCCAATAGATGGGTCGGAGGATCACGCCCAGACCCCATCTTCTCGGACCCCATCTATCGGGCCAGACGAAAGGGGGGGATAAGGAAAGGGGGGGTACGAAATCTGCTGCATGCAGCTGGTTTCAGCCCCACCGAGGGGCCCACTCCTCGATACATGGCCGCCTCCGGCGCCGGGAGGCGCTGGGGAAATCAGCTGCGTGAGCTGATTCTCAACCCACCCCTTTGCCATCCCCCCTTTCGCCCGGCCCGAATCTAGAAGGCCTCCAACCTCTGCCTCCACGAGTGCGAGGAGCACATCGCCCTCGCCGCTCTGCCTCGGCCCGAGGCGGCGGCCGCGGCGGGCCCCCCGCCTGGGTCGCGGCGCCCGCCGCAGGGGACCGCTGGGCTGGGCAGCCCGTTGCTCCTTCCTTCTGCTGCTGCTGCTGCTGCTCTTCGCCCTCCTGCTCCCTGCCCCCCCTCCTCGCCCCGCTTCCCCGCCTCTCTCCTCCTGCTCCTCCTGCTCCTCCAGCTCCTCCTGCTCTCCCTCCTCCTCCTCCTCCTCCTCCTCCTCCTCCTACTCCTCTCTCCTGCCCCTCCTCCTGCTCCTCCCTCCTGCTCCTCCCTCCTCCACCCATCCCCATCCCTTTTGCTGCTCCTCGTCCTCATTCCCCTCGCCCTTGTCCTCCTGCTCCGTCGTCGTCGTCGTCGTCGTCGTCGTCGTCGTCGTCGTCGTCGTCGTCGTCGTTGTCGTCGTCGTCGTCCTCCTCCTCCTCCTTTTCCTCCTCCTCCTTCTCCCCCTCCTTCTCCACCTCCTCTTCCGCCTCCTCCCCACCCCCGCATCCGTGGGGGTCCTGGCGTCGCTTCTCCGAGCGGCGAGTGTCGCAGGGTGCTGCACGGTCTTCTCCGGGGGTGTGCCCGCCGATTCTCCAGTGGGATGCCCGTGGCACCGCGCCCGGGGGCGCCGCGAGTCAGCGCCGTAGCCCTGGACTACGGCTGTATCGTCGCGCCTTCGCCCCGACGACCGCTTGGAGCCTCCTCTGGGCCTCTTGGGGGCCTCGTCAGGGGCAGGGTCCCGGAACGGTTCGGGGGTGGACAGAACCCCCAACAGTGACACGTCGATTAGTGAATGGTCCGTTTTCGGCTCTCGAGAGGGTGCCGTGGCCGTTATTTTCCAGGCTTGCGCCCGCCAGATTTGGGCCTCAGGTCGTTTTCACTAAACCACGTTTTGCTAAAGGGGGGTCTGTCCATCCCCGAAACGGTGCGGTGACAGACCGTGCGGTGACCTCGGAGTCCCCAGATGCCTCACCGCGCGGTTCGTTGCTGCACGGCGACGGGACCTCGGAGGCCCCCTTCGCCCGAGACATCGTCGCTTGGTCCCCCCGAGCCAAGACATCCGACGTCTCGATTTTTTCGAGACACGGGCCCCCGACCTCTCGACCACTTCCCAGGGACCAATTTTTCCATCCCGAGCTCGTGTTTTTGACGCTCCCGAGGCCCGGCAAGGGCTCCGAGCTGCCGAAACCTTTGCAAGACCTCCGTCCCGATGTGTTCGAGACGCCAGACGTCTGGGACTCCCCACTGGCGCACCACGGTGTGCTGGGGCCTGGTCTGCGGGCAGCACCTCTATCCACATCCTCTGCGTCGTGGAGTTTGAGTTCCCAACCCCCAGAAGACCAGAGGCGCAGTGGATGTGGAGAAAGCTCGGACCCCTGTGGAGACCAGACTCTTACCACATCCGCTGCGCCTCGGCCTCGTGGCGCCCCCTCCCAGAGAGTCCAAGATGCAGTGGAGATGGACATCAATCGTTCCCGCACGGTCCTTCCTGGGATCAGAGCGTGAATTACCTACCCCGCTTTCGCTTCCAGGCAAAACCAAGCCATACCACGCGCCTCCTCGTCAAGCGGCCTGATCAGTACAGGCTGCAATTTGGCATCGTTTGGTATCTCTTGGAAGCGAGGGTGGTCAAAAGCGAGGGAGGTTTGTTTCCCCCTAATGGGAGGTCTGGGGGGGGGGGGCGGGGAGTGCTCTCGGGGCCAGGAGGCGCTGCTCCGAGCAGATGCCCAGCGCCGCTCGCGCGCAGCGGCGGCGTCGCACTCGGGCCAGAGGAGCGCCTTCGAGCACCGACTCGGCGGCTTTCGTGCTCGAGGTCCGAGGCCTCCGGGCGTTCTCGGCGGTTCTCGGTGGCTTTCCAGCCTCGGGGTGCGTTCCAGCTGCCGCGCCTCGTCGAGAGCGTTCGGGGGCGCGTGGATTGCTCCGAACGGCCGCCGGAGAACCGAGTTATGGCCCGAGAACCAAGTTCGGCAAAGCGCGCCTGGGGGGGAAGTGAGAAGGAGGATGCCTGCTCGGAAGGCGGCGGGGCTTCTCAGAAGCCCTCGCGCCTTCCAAGCAGCTCTCTGTGTCGTCGGGGGAGGCCCAGCAAAAACCTCTCAGAAGGCTGCGAGACTTTCAAGCCTTATGAGAAGGCCCGCCCGTTCTCACTTCCCCTCGGGGCGCGCCACCGAATCATGCAGCGTGTGGGGCATCACCATGGGCACTCTGTCCGGAGAGGTCACAGCAGGACCATTCGATGTCCAGGACGCGCACGAAAACCTTGTGGTCTTTCACGTAGTGCCTCAGTGCGCGACATGCAAGCCCAGCTCGGCCTGAATCCCAACTCACTCGGTGGCCATGCAATCACTGTTTGCAGCCGCGCATGCCTAATGATGTGACCCCTCCTACGCTCCTCCCACGCCCCTCACTCGTGGAAAGCGGGGCACGTCCAGGAGGGAGGCTCTCCACGTTGGAGCGGCAGTGGGACAGCTCCTGCGGGAGGGCGGCGGACGGATGGGGCTCCACTTCTGCTCCACGCCTCCTCTTTACCCCTTCCTCCTCCCTCCTTGCCTCCTCCCCACGGGGTGACGCTGCAAAGACGTCGTGCTCTCAGGAGGCGACTCGGACGAGGTGCACCCGCAGAGGCTGGTCGGGCGGATGCCGGCGAGGCTGGTGCAGCGGGCTCGGCCAGGACGCGGCAGAACAGGCGGGCGCTGGCTGCCGGCGCCCGGCAGCCGGCGGGACCTCCGACCCCTGGCGTGAAGAAGCAGAACCGCCAGCGAAATCTGGACCCTCGAGAGTGGGCCCCCCCCTCTCTTGGCCTTTCTCTCTTGTGCGCCGGACAATTTGCCTGTCGGTTGTCCCGATTCGCCCCACGCCGGTACGGATCGCCTCCGCCTGTGCCGCCGACGGAAAGGTGTTGGCACTCCCCGGGAAGGCGAGCGGATTTGCTGCGGGAACTGGGGCTGCCGCACTTTGCCGGGGGTTGGCCAGACGCCCTGAACCAACGGGGGCTACGGCCAGCAGGCCAGGAGAAGATTCTCCAGTGACTCACGGTGTAGTGGAGGGACTGGCGAGAGCCCATCCATAAGCTCTTGCGGGCGGCGGTGCTGATTCAGTAGGGCCCACCCTCGCATCCTGGCGAGGGGACGGTGGTTTTCCATGATCGTAGAAGAGCCCAGCCCTGGGTCCAGCAGCCCGACGGTCTTCGCAATTGGGGGTTGGGGCCTCAGTTTCTCAGGATGGGACTTCTGGATGGGCCTGCATGCTTGACGGTGGGTCCGTGAGAACCCGAGAGGGAGGTTGGTCAGGCAACGATCGGGGGGATAGACATAGGGTGGATGCATCGACCCCGAATCGCCCACTGATCGCCGATAGAGGCCCGATAGCCCCAGCCTGCCCGGGAAGGTGCGGATTTGCTGCCTGGGGCCTATCGCCGATCCATCGGCTCGGTATCGCCGATTCCAGGTCAAAGCGTCCCCCCTATGCCAGTCCGCCCCCCCTATCGTGGCCCCTCAGTTGGGGCTAGGGCCGAGGGGGAGGTGGACCTGCTTCAGCATTGTCCGCCCCCCTCTCCAGAGCCCAGCTCCGAAGAGGACCTCCCGACGGGGGCCCTCTTCGCGGCGGGGGCGGCCCCTGGCCCCGGCCCCCGCGTCGTGGCACGCGTCTCCGCAGCAGACGCACTGCCCGGACCCAAGCATCCGGCGTCTCGGTTTTTTCGAGGCACGGGCCCCCGACCTCTCGACCCTTTCCCTGGGACTGCTTGTCCCTCCCGAGTCGCCTTCGGACGGCCCCGGGGCCCGGCAGTGGCCCCGAGAGGCCGAAGTCTATGGAACACCTTGGGGAGGAGCAGGAGGAGGGGGAGGAGGAGGAGGAGGAGGAGGAGGAGGAGGAGGAGGAGGAGGAGGAGGAGGAGGAGGAGGAGGAGGAGATGAGAAGGAGGAGGAGGAAGAGGATGAGATGAGGACGAGGATGAGGATGAGGATGAAGATGAGGACGAGGATGAGGATGGTGAGGAGGATGAGGATGATGATGATGCTGCTGATGATGATGCTGATAGTGATGATGATGATGATGATGAGGAGGAGAAGGAGGAGGAGACGAGGAGGATGCGGAAAATGATGAGGAGAAGGATATGGTTGATGATGATGATGATGACGATGCAGATGACGATGATGATGACGATAATGATGATGATGCTCCTGATGATGATGCTGATGACGACGACGATGATGATCATGCTGATGATACTGATGATGAGGAGGAGGAGATGATGCTCATGCGGAGGATAATGATGATGATGATGATGATGAGAAGGAGGAGGAGGAACAGGATTTTATGATGATGATTATGAAGAACATGATGATGCTGATGATGATGAGGATGATGATTATATTGTTGTTGGTGTTATTGTTGCTGATGCTAATGATGCTGGTGATGCTGCTGCAGATGATGATGATGCTGATGCTTATGATGATGATGATGACGATGATGACGATAATGATGATGATGATGATGGTGGTGATGATGATGACGATGATGATGATGATGATGATGATGATGATGATGAGCATGATGATGATGATGCTGCTGATGCTGATGCTGATGCTGATGCTGATGCTGATGCTGCTGCTGCTGCTGCTGCTGATGATGAGGATGAGGATGAGGATGAGGATGGTGGTGGTGGTGGTGATGGTGGTGGTGGTGGTGATGATGACGATGACGATGATGATGCTGCTGCTGCTGATGATGATGATGATGGTGATGATGATGATGATGATGATGATGATGATGATGATGATGATGATGATGATGATGATGATGATGATGATGATGAAGAGGAGGAGGAGGAGCAGGAGGAGCAAGAGGAGGATGAGGAACATGAGCAGGAGGAGGACGCCTCTGAAGCAGAGGCTCCCGCTTTCGCTGGCTGGAGAAGCGCGCGCGCGCCGTAAGCGAGGGGCGGCAGGTGCCGCCCCTGCGAAGGGCGCCCGCTGCGGGCGAGGCCACGGCCGCCTCGGCCGCCACGGAGGCGAAGGCCGCCCCGCCGCCGCCGTCGCCGCCGCCGTCGTCGTCGTCGTCGTCGTCGTCGTCGTCGTCGTCGTCGTCGCCGTCGTCGTCGTCGTGGTCGTCGTCGTCGTCGTGGTCGTCGTCGTCGTCGTCGTCGTGGTCGTCGTCGTCGTCGTGGTCGTCGTCGTCGTCGTCGTGGTCGTCGTCGTCGTCGTCGTCGTGGTCTTCGTCGTGGTCGTTGTCGTCGTTGTCGTCGTCGTCGTCGTCGTCGCCGACGTCGTCGTCATCGTGGTTGTGGTCGTCGTCGTCGTCGTGGTCGTCGTCGTCGTGGTCGTCGTCGTGGTCGTGGTCGTCGTCGTCGTGGTCGTCGTCGTGGTCGCCGTCGTCGTCGTGGTCGTGGTCGTCGTCGTCGTCGTGGTCGTGGTCGTGGTCGTCGTCTCCGTCGTCGTCGTCGTCGTCGTCGTCGTGGTCGTCGACGTGGTCGTCGTCGT